TTATTTTTTTCTTGCATTAAAGGCACAAATTTGATCAAACGTGCTATATTTTTCCTATTTGCGTATCTACAAGAATATTATAGTTTCAAAATCATTGTCGCTAATCTCAGTTTAACAATATTGCAAAATAAATACTTTGACATTATGAAAAAATATCGATTTCTCGCAGAAACATTGTTGACTTTTCATATTTGTCAATTTTCTGCACCTGTAATACTGATATATAAGAATAATTTACAGCCTTCAAAATGTCAAAAAACTTCTTTAGATTTACATTTAATGAATATTTGCATCCACAATATTTATCTAGTCTAGTAAAATTATACATTTCAATCAAGACAATTAGTGCCCGAGACTTTAGTCAGTTTTAATGTTGATCGAAGGCCCGAGACTACAGCCCATTTGACACAAGACAAAATATGACAAAGATAGGTTTCGAAATCGAATACTAGACGTATAAGATCTTACTTCATTGTATTTTTCTTTTTATAAACGTGTAAAAGAGACCACGATAAAGATGCAAAGTTCGTTCTATTGAGTAGTTCGATGTAATGTAATGCTCTTAAATTATATAGTAACCAAATAGTTTTCGTTTTAACGAAACTATGCTATAATTTTTCAAGACAAAGTCTTAGTAAAGGTAAAGGTTACGAGTTCAATATACAATTAAAACTTTAATCAAAAATAAAGTCTATATTTACAATTTTGAATTTATCTTTTGATTAATCTTGTAAACAATATTTGTTCTACTTTAATTATCCTAAGTAAAACCTCACATGTGAATTGTGTAAAGCAAACACAATAAACGTATAGCAAAACCAGGGGGCCTACTCCGAAAATGAAATTCGATAAAGCGAGCTATCTTCTTCCTTCGAGTTTTAAAAATTTAATAACATTACATATTAAATAAAATCAATCTTTAACTTGAAAAGTCTGTAAATATATGAAAAGTCTGTAACAAAAATAATCTACTATATTCAGTAAGTTTAACATCATTCAATTAGTTCCCGCAAGGTATCTACGAGTACACCACACGAGTACACAAATAAATACACGTGCACAAGGTACTACAAATAGTGCAAACACCACCAACTATCAATCCATGTAATAACACTCTATGATTGTTCACTATAAGGTGATAGAAGTATCCTCAGAAGTTACCATTATTAGTTATAGATGTACCAGAACCTGATGGCAAATCGGGAAATTTAAATTTGGAGGCGGCAACTTTGGGGAAAAAGGATGAAGACGTCTTGATACTTGTAACATATTTAATATAAGAAACACTTTTCAATAACTGCCTCATAGCACTGACCGTACTCTAGACCATTTTCCTATCTATTACTAATATTATATTACTAATATTTTAACGGAACAGCTACCGGCGCAGAAAAAAAACAACAATATTTTACCTGACTCGGAGTCTAACACGAAAAAACCTATCATCCAAGTCAAGGAAGTCCATTCAACAAAGAAATGCAATTTAATTCCCAATTACGAATTCAATTTAACTGTAAAATTATAATTTATGCTCAAAGTAAGTTCACAATTGTTTTTATCATAAAACGCACAAATAATTATTATATTCTGTTCATTTTTAAAGATTCTTTAATCTTTTAAAAAAAATACAATGCAAAGGTACTCAAACTTTTATATTTTGAATTCAAATATTTTGACAATACTTATTTTGAAATATCACTGTCAAACAACATTGTTAGACTGTTATATTTAAGAATAGACACCCAAGCTTTATTCGTTGTGCAAACTCACTTTTTCAATCTGTCCAGTCGAATTTTGCGCACTTTCACACTCGTTTCTAGCCAAATTTCATGTTTGTGAAATTTTACACGCAATGGATTTTCGTCCTTTTCAAAGTTATAGCTGACAAGCTATATTCCTGCGAGTACAAAAATATCACCCGCGTATGATGTAGCTTTCCGTTGATGAGAGAATTTTTGATGGAAATAAACAATAGAATCTTTGCTCTTTATAAAAAATAAATATAAACGAGATATTTTTTTATCGATATTGTTTTTTTTTATCGAACAGGCACCGAACTTCTTTCATTTACGGAAAGCAACATCATACGAGGGAATGTAGTAATGTGCTGAACTAATTGAAAGCAAAAGTTTACAACCCTTATTTGGGGTTCAATACTACACTGTGAAGTTGTGTCCATATATAAGCTAATCCTTTAAAAGCACACTATTAATTAGGCTAATAATGTTGTCCCTTTGTCGTAGTGAGCGTGGCACAAATTAATAATCACGGTAAGGTTTCCCCAAATTAAATGGAGAGGAAGCACATACAGCAGCACTTCAAGTACAAAGATTTTCAATCGATTATGAACCTAATTTCCTACACGTTGAGGTTCACAATTGATTGATGTGTTGTGACCGTATAAAATATGATGCGCTGTTGAATCTACGTGTGCTTGCGGTTACCCTCAAATTTACTGATCTCCCTTGACTTGTATTAGTTTACTCGTAATTATGTTCTACTAATTTGAGGAGAATTTCAAATTTGTTGTGTTAAGACAATGAAATTTCTAATGTTGCAAATAAGGTTTCTCTGGCAAACTTCATTACATGTAAAATAGTGCCGAAGTCGAAAATAGAAGTTTTCTAGAAATGTATATATAAGATTTATAATAAATTCAGACAAAAAATGAGTTTTGCTCTATTCACGTGAGCAATTGTAATGTGAATCTCAGTTCGAGTAAAGAATACAGAATACTGTAAAGCGATACTACTTTAAACAATTGAACATAAGAAATAAAAAATCTGAAGAGAAGAACTATTCTTTATGTAGCTTAAAATTTATTGTGTATGTACTGTTTTTTTTTTCGAAGAGTCCCGAAAAGCCTGATAGTCTGAAACTAGAAACAATAAATGAGCGAAGAAAGAAGATTCTGGATGTTGGGTTCACTCTAAGTATGAACGCCAAGCATTTCCCTTCAGTTTGGTGTTCTACCTTACAGTGAACTGAGCTCCAGGCACTCACCGAACGAAGAGATGAAGCGGAAAGAAGATCGAGAACCTGCCAAGGGCGAGTCGGATTCGCGCACGAACGGTTCCGTACTGAAAACAAGCAAAAAGCATTTTTTGTTTGGGAGCCCCCTTACATATTTATTTTATTATGTTTTTTTTAAATATTTGTCTATAAGTGGCAACAGAAAGACATCATCTGGAAAAATTTCAACTGTCTAATTTTCACGGTTCATTAAATACAGCCTCGTGACAGACGGAGAGACAGACAGACGGAGAGACAGACAGACAGAGAAGTCTTAGTAACAGGGCTCCCGTCTTACACGGAACCCTAAAAATCAGTACGCTAAGTCAAACTTTCCCTTTCCTATATTATTGGTATCACCTTCCTTGATGAGTAACCCACAGAAGTCACACTACCCACACTATAAATACCGATGCACAGCGATTGATTTAACAGTTTTTATATCTTCTGAGCTGGTTATGTGTCGTCCCAGATGTATGCTTCGTTTGTGGATCCACATTCACACAGGAGATATTGTGGTATTTCATACACCTGCTTCCATTAGCTGCAAATGTTAGCGTCACTTAATTTCATGTGATATAAAAAACAATAAAAAAAAAACCACAACACCCAGACCCGAAACAATATAGAAAAGTTCTGCATTGACCCGACCGGGAATCGAACCCGAGACCCCAAAAATGGTGACATCTTGAAATCGGCATGTGGGCCACTCCACTACAGAGTCTGTTTAAAGACCTAGAAGCTAGGTCTTCTAAAATTTATAGCTTAATACATCAGGATTCTCTAATAATCATTTGTAAAAAGCAAAGATATTCGGTGGATTTCCTCTTTTTAATTGTTGAGACTACCTCCATTACTTATTCATCCTTTCTAAGACCCTTCATTATTTATATTGTTGGTTTACTGATTTTCGGATTCGTTGAATATATAAAAATCTACTGTAAATTCCAACTTTCTCAAAAAATACTAAATAGACTTATAATATTTTATTAAAGATAAGGTCACTGCGGAGATGATCCATAACTAAAAGGGGAAGCCCTTTTTTTCCAAAACATGAAGAAACATCTAAAATATTACGATATCAAAATTTCTTTTTTTTTATAATATTTTCACTTTATAGCGAAAATCGATAAATATATAACGTAAGATAATCGAGTACAGTTTCCTTTTTTCGTGTTTACTCCAAAATTTCCGAAAAATTTGTACTTTAGCGACTTTAGAACTCATGATTTTTAATTGAAGATTGAAGTATTAAATATTTTTTAAATTCATATATATTCACAGTAATTTTATTTAATAAACCATGAAATTTGTATCTACAGGTTTTCAAAGAAAACTTGTAATGTAATGTATTGTGTGTAATGGATAACTATTAATAGGATATGTTTTAATGTTGTTACATTGCCTTTGGAAGCTCGTAAGCTAGTGTCAATTGCAAAAGCTTCCTGATTTCAGAGTTAAACTTTTATGATGTTGCTGTTTTTGTAACGTTCCAAAGGTTGAGAAAAATATCGTTTATTAAAATAAAGTAGCTTATGAATTTTTTAATGCAACACGAAAAGGTTGTCTCGAAGTACGCCCGCGCCGCCTACCGCGTTCGCACCTATGTAAATAATTTATTTTGACCTCATCAGACCCGAGTGTAATGGCTACTAGCTTATGACTCTTTCTGAACCTTGATAAAATATTAATAATAATAAACGGAGATTTTTCTCTAAGATTTTTCTTGGAAGCAATGTTATATGGTAGGTATTATGAACTGCCTTCAAAAGGTTTTGTGCTTTATACATGATATATTACTTACTATACTCCTTAATTAACTGCTAAAATACATTTTCTCATTTTATTAATATATAAAAAAATGTCCGTTTCACCACATAGCCATTTAAATTAATTTTAATTGTTTTGCGATAGTTATACTAGTTAAATAATTATATTATATAAGTAAATAATATTCATATGAATATTTGTCTATTGATTTTCAACAGATGAATTCTGTGAAGAGTACCCACACAGTCTGATACCAACGCCTGGCTACTGGATCGAATGCTCACGGCAGAAAATCGCCACAGACACCATCTGGGATGAGTCAGAGTCCGAACACGACAGCGGACCAGATCGAGAAGACAACGGTAAGATTTTTATATTATTATTCGCCTTTTTAGTGTTCTCATTAATTTTCAGTAATTTTCCAAAACAAAATAGCGGAAACTTTGTCTTTTTTCCATTTATCGGTGATTGAAAAGTCAAAGAGAATATATAAAAACATCAGGCAGTACTCTGCGAAACCCACTATAATACTATCTATAGTAATCCATAATACTACGATGATTTACAACTTTTAACAATGTTTGTACACCGATACTGCCCGTAAATGAATACGCGTGTACAAACGCGTATTAATTTGCGGCAACAATCAATTTCGATTGTAGTAGACCCCTCCATATTGGTTTCCACAAAACGGTATTTTAAATATAAATTCATCAATATAAATCCTTCTTAAGATAATTAATGCCATATAAATTAATACGAAAGCCTTTAAATAATAAATTCGACCATTCTCAAATTCTTATTTATACAAATTTAACTATGATCATCAGTTCTCAACTAAATATGTGTAATAATGATTAGCATAGACAATGAGCCAGTTAAAATTACCTTCAATTATACCTTCTTATTTAGCTTATTTCATATTAAAATTAATTAGATTCTATGCTATCGTCAGCCATTAGTTCCGAATCAACGTTTAGACTATAATAATGAACGCCATCATAACGGCCTTCTGAGAATTTCAGTCGTCTTGATTTGTGGCCCCGGATTCTACGTTTCTTGACAGCCTAACAAAAGAATATGACATGAAAATAATCACTCCCTCGCAAAAAGGAAATAAAAAGGAGATGCCTTTTAAAGCTTTGGAAAATTGTGTAAGCCTATTAATGTGGAATACAAAATTTAGTACTACCTTATTAGAGCTTCCTCTACAATGCTTTTATGTCCCGATTTTTAACCTTTGTTGTAGTATTATAATGTCTATTTATTTTCTTGATAAATTGTCTTTTATATTAAGATGGAAGGTGCAGGTATTTATTAATAATTTGTTCTGTGATTTTTTCATTATCAAAAAAGCTTTTAGGATGCTTTTGATCTAAGAAACAATTGATTTCCTCCAACTGAAAAGTGACCGTTTTTTTATATATAATTCTGGAAGCCAAACTCGGATACGCTCTTATGTTGATGAACAACTTTAAAATAAACACAACATATTTTTTAGACTTTAGACAGGACAAAATAATAGCTTTTTTAGTCAAATAAAATCACACATGTAAACAAAATCATAAATGTGTCAAAGAAGAACGAGTACCAAAATGTTAGGGTAATTGTATAGACATAGTGTATGTCTATAAAGTATTGAAATAGCGGCTTGTACTAAAAATAATCTGTTGTTATTAAAAAAGAAACAAAAGTGACGAGTTTTATATGTGCGAGTACCTCCATTTAAAGTGGTTTCAATATACTCCAATGTTTATATTTTTATTTGTAGCGCATTTAAAAAACCTTGTTTTTATTATGTATTTTTCGTTTGATGCCTGTAATACAACTGTAAAGGCGTGAACCTCCTTAGTGGTTCAGCAGTCAGGCATGGCCGTCTAGATTTTTTTTTGTCAGCATCAGCGTCAGATCTTCTTTTGTCTTTTTTTCTTGTCGCGATTTTCTCACCAAACGTAACATGTGTTTTTATATGTATTTCCTGGTCCCACTGTAAGTAGTATATTAAGTTACCTATGTGACCTATGAATTCATGATTTTTATTTACGCCGTTTTTGAATATCGTATTATTTCAATACAATGACAGTGCTTCAAGATTGAGTGATCCGCCGTACTGGATTTAGAATAAAAGTCATTTTGTTATTTTTATATTTTACTTAAGGTCAATATACACTATGTCCATACGGTACGCAACAGAATTTCCATAGCTTTGTATTGATTTGTATAGAATTCCGTGCTCTATCCCTGCCGACTGCATCGACTGCTTCTAATACATATTATGTCTAACCTGACAAAAAGTGTTTTATTAAAAATTCGTTTACAATATACATGACATCGGTAAATCCATACAATCCATTGCGTACCGTGCGTTCGTTGCATGCGTACGGACACAGTGGATCTTTACCTTATTTTAAATTAATGACCAAATTCAAAAATAACTAAGACGCCATTTATGATTAAATATTTACTCACTTCAAATACACAGTAATACATAGAAATACTTGTAACGTTCGTTACGCATAACTGATAAGTAAATTCTTTAATTTTAATTATACATTCTAATTATACATTAGAAAAGCGCATTCATTTATTTATGATTTGTCTACTCTCAATAATTCGAATAGAATTTTGGAGACCTTGATCATCCTAAAATATCGTAAGTGCTTTTAAAGGCAGGGTAAAGCATTTCCCTAACCCAGACGAATTTAATAAATTACGTTAGACTTTGAGTGATTTCGAAGTGACAGTTACTTTTTAAATAAGGCGTAAACGTTCAACCGTATTCTGCCTCCCACTCAAGTACTCGGTTTTTCAAATACGATAAATAGGTATAGTATTATTAGGGTACATCACTCACTTCACTACAAATGGATATCACTGAATCACTGAAAAATTCTATTTCATTCTGTTTGGGAACTTACAGTTTTATACATATGGTTACATATATAACACATAAGTTAATAACGAACAAGCTATCTCGTTATTCTCTTTTGTTGATAAAATCTTATAAATTCACGATTTAGTCAATTATTATTTAGAAATAAAATATATATTTTTATTGTAACTGCATATTGTTCATAATCAAAGTAATATTATTAGATTTCATCATCATTTTTACGTCCCCACTGCAGGGGCTCAGGCCTTCCTTATGGATGCTTAAGAAGGATGGGCCATGACCCTCCACGCTGGCCCAATGCGGATTGGAGGGTATTAACGACTGCAAATGCAGCCGGGACCAACGGCTTAACGTGCCTTCCGAAGCACGGAGTAGCTCGAGACAATTTTTTTTTGGTCACCCATCCCGTGACCGACCCTTGCGAAAGTTGCTTAACGACTACGATCGCGGGCCGCGGCGCTTATCCACTACGCCACCGAGCTACTCTGCTAGCTGCTCTGATTAATAGATTTATATAATGGTAATTTTGTGTTTAAAAAAAAAACATTTATGATCCCTATCAATAATAATAAATGTTCTCACGTCCCGATAATGGCTAAATTACACTTACCTTTAAGAAAAGTTTAACATAATAACTTACATTAAGTAAAGTTCTCGAAAAAAAATCCCCACACGCTATAAAAATATTGTAAATAATGAAAGAACTTTTAAACGGTTTGTATTTTTCTTTTTTTTTCGTTGTTGCGTGTTCATATAAAACTAAGGTGTTGTTGATTGTCTTTTTAATTAAGTGTTTAAGCTCCTTAGTTCAAATAATATTTTAATTTATAAACAATAGGTCATAATAATAATAATTTAATGTAATAGATGGCGTTATGCAAAATTAGAATCACGATGACGTTTGATTTTTATAAAATGTATATATATCAAATAAGGTCAAGTTAAGTCGTTGCTAATACAGAACTCTTTAGATCAGCTGGTGTTTTATTTTTAAATCACTAGCCGCTTCAGTACAACCTAGGCCAAAATTATACAATTAAGAGTGTAGCTACCTTTAAACAATACTATTGGACACATTCATAATGCAAAAAATATATATATTTTATGGAAACGTTTATATTTATTAAATTGGCTAAACTACAACTTTTCTTCTAATATATTATCGTTGTTTGTCAGCTTTTTGCTCACGTGTGACCACTGCGATAGTTGCTTAATATCAACAATCTAACGCTCACCACCACCAACCCTTACAGTACAATATACTTAAACAAATATTTACACACGTTACTTTACCCGAAATCCTAAAACAACATTAAAATTACCACGTTTATTAACTTTCAATCCAATCTGCAAAAATTGTTTTGTAAACATATCGATACTGTCGTAGAGATGATCGATATATACCGATAGAAGTGATACGTCAAACCGAATTTGAACGTTTAAACCTCACCGCCTATCACAAAGCGATTGCTATAAGATGTTTTTATCAATTAATATATTTATAATTCTTCGCGGAACTAGAAAATCGCAGTCAAGCACGGAGCATAGCATAGAGGTTCAATAAAAAAACCTACTTGAAATGGTAATACAGGGTTTTTTTTAATTGAATCTCTATGAAATGACGGTGCTGCGTTCGACGTCTACACAAAATACAAATATAAATTAACTTGAAAAAATTAAATAATTTTATAGCTTTCGCTTTGGCTGTGACATTAGGTTAGCAATGGGAAGCTGTCACTTGAATAGGTCGAATCGATACATTAATGTGACATTTTTCTTATCGATATCTCTTATTTCAGGAAATTGTTTCAATGTTTGGTTTCAGTAGCGATGTTTAACTTAGACGATAACTTGAGTGTTGAAGTGTCTGGAGAATCTAGAGAAAGAGTAACGACATATAAGCAGTATTCGAGTTGAAAAACCTGAATACAGTAAAACTAATGAACTTGATACTTTCCTTTAATTTAATGAAAGCAAATATTACAAGAGCTTGTTGTCAATTTTAACAAATTGGTATATAAAGATTTTAGAATATTAGTAAGTTTTATTTTTTTTTTTAATACAATAAATCATGACAATAAATCATGAATTTTCATGTATTTTATAAAAATAATAATAATATTGTACTTGTTCTATGTTCTATTAATATATTTTTGACTTTTGATTTTTTTTTGTTCATCACCGATTCATTTAGAAACTAGTTAAGAAGGTACAGTAAAACATTGCAATAGTAATAATAATACGTTTGAAAAAAAATGTGTTTCATCCACCAACCGAGCATCGTTTAGTACGTGGTTATTACCAATGCAGCAAAGAAGTACAAAAAGATATACTACTTTCATAACTATTAAGTACATTTCAATACAAAATGTGTATAATGATATCATATTTCGTCATAATAATAATATAATTTATTCCTTTTATCAAAAGTTGTACAGTAGGTTTTTTATACACTATGATTAGGACTAT